CAGTGAGCTGGGCCCGCCCCTTTCCTGTTGGGGGCGGTGCTCCCGGCTGCTGGAGAGGCTGGCAGGCTCCGCCCCTTCCTGCTCAGCTCTGGTTGGCTGGTCGCACTAGACCCGCCCCTCAGACCATCTACTATGCAGACCCCAAAGCCAGCCTCCGCTGGTCTGTACTGCACGCTGGGAAGGTGGGAGCCAGTTGAGGGATCAGACTCACAAATGAGCAAAGCAACACACAGGCAGAAAGTCTGCCCTGCAAAGAAAGTCCTGTCACTCACGCACGAAGGCACCCAGCAGGAGGGGACCCAAAGTCAGCTCCATGCAGCTCCCCACACCGCTGGTCTCAGCAAAGCTGGGGCAGCTTCAAGCGCCACCAGGGGCCCCTCAGGGCTGGCCACAGATCCCAGCCTCCCAGCACCAGGAGCTCAGGGAGGGAGGGCTCCTCCCCTCCCCCACACCATGCAGATTCAGTGCTTTCTGGGGCTCAACACAGTGCCCCACAGGGAGGCAGAGGGTCCCCGTGTGCAGCTGCTCAGCCCCGACCTCTGGTCCCTTACTACTCAGGTGCCACAGGCTTTGGGACAGCCCTTCCTATGGTCAGCGCCCTGAGCTTTAGACGCTGGTCGTGGCCTCCACTAGAAGCTTTGTTTCCTAGGAAGGCACCATCTGCCATTAGAGGCTTTGTTTCCTAGGAAGGCTCTGACCCCTCCGCACAGGCACCCCACCCCCCTGGGGCCCTCTGCCCTCCACGTGGGGTGCTCCTTCCCCTCTTGTCGCTCCGGATGTGGGGTCCCCGCTTTCGGGTGCCGCCCGCACTCCCGAGGGGAGGGAGCTTTGCAGCCTCCAAGCCTCGGGGCTCAGCTCAGCACAGGCTTCAGGGGGGATCCCCCTTCCTACGCCCCCTCTCTTACCGGACTCTCTGATGTTTTTCAGTGCTCCCCCACTCGCACTCCGTCCACTCAGGTATGTTTTTCTGGTTTTTCCAAGCTGGCTAAATAAGATTTTAGGAGGAAATCGAGTCCGTGGCTAGGAGCGGGGGCGCTGCTGCTTCTCACAGCACCGCCATTTCCCCTCCCCTTCCTCCACACATGCTTTTAGAACTTCAGCTTTTAAAACCCAACAGTGGCTATTTGAGAAGTCACCTCCTTTCCAGACCCAAATACAAGCAATGAGAAATTTGCCCTTTAAAAATAACAGCCATTGGTTTATCAATGGGAATGGTGACATTTACCCACCAAAAGATGTGTAAAAAAATTGCATGAAAGGAAAAATAAATAAACCTGTTGCAAAGCAGTCTTACTTATGCTATAGTTCAGAACACTTAAACATAAAACTGTCCTGAAAGTTTTTAAAGTGATTATTCATGTTCAAATTAAAACTGTGTGACAAATCTAATGAACACAAGCTGATTTGGTAAAGGTTCAAAGACTCACATTCCAGCAGTGTCATTTCACACTCCTGCAAGATTTTGGTGTATAGGACGGTGCTTCAACCCACTGAGCCTCAAGCCAGGGCCAATCTTTCTTTTTTTATGCTTAGTTTCAACATCGCTGGGAAAAAAAATAGCCAAACCATCAATTGGGGAAGGGTGAGTGCAAAGAAAGCCGTCAGGAGGCTGTTTGTAGGAGCTCAGTTGAAATATGATTGTGGTTTTGACTAGGACAGTGAGTGTGAGGTGATGGGAAGTAGGTGGATTCTGTATTTACTTTGAAGATAGAAGCAATATGATTAGCTCATGAACTGGGTATGAGGAGGGAGTATTGGGAGTATGACTTCTAAAATGTGGGGTCTGAAAAATGGAAGAATGGAGTAAGAGGAACAGCATTTCCTTTTATCAAGAAAGACTGTGGGAGGATCATGTTAATAGGAGAAATTTCAAAAGTTAAGTTCTTTGGCACCTTTATTTCATTAATTTTTTTAAAGTTTCAGTCTTAAAGAAGAGGTACAAGATATTATAAAGAAATCCCATGTTGCACTGCTTGCCTGACTGACACAGTGGTTGAGCGTCTTCGACCTATGAACCAGGGTGTCATGGTTAGATTCCCGGTCAGGGCACTTTCCCAGGTTGTGGGCTGGATCCCCAGTAGGGGGTGTGCAGGAGACAGCCGATCAGTGACTCGCTGACTCGCTCCCATCATTGATGTTTCTCTCTCTCCCTCTCCCTTCTTCTCTATTTGAAATCAACTTAAAAAAATAGCATAAAAAAAAAAAAAAAATCCCATGTCCCCTTACCTATATTCCCCAACTCTTGGCATTTAACTGCTTTTGCTCTTCCGCTCCCTCTTCCTCCTCTACACCTACGCCAGTGTTTCTTTTGGACGTTATTCCCTATCACCTCTAAACACTTGGGAGAGTAACTCCAAAAATTAAGGACACTCCTTTTGTATCATCACCTTACTGCGCATACCTCCCAGCCAGGCAGTCACATTGATACCGTTGCTGCCATCCAGTCCATAGCCTCTAGACTACAGCAGCTGGCCCTGAAGCATCTTCTTCCTTCCTGTCTCAGGAATCTTTCCAGAAATACACTTTTCTAAGCCTGAGCAGTTCTTCAGCCTTTCCTTGCCTCTCATGTTCTCACTGGTCTTTGAGAGTACATTTCACGGGTTGCCCTGAACCTGGGTTCATCTCGTAAGTTTTCTCATGACTAGATCAGGCCATGAATTCTTCCCAGGGATACAACAGAAGTGATGCTGTGTACCTGTTGTGTAACATTAGGGGCTGCATGGTTATGACTTCCCCAGCCCCCATGGGTGATGTTAGCCGTCATCACCTGGTCATGTTTATCTCTGCTGTGAAATAACTAGTTTTCCCTTTGTAATTGATTAGTATTTTGTCAGGGGAGCTAATCAGATATTATGCCAATACTCTGTTCCTCATCAAATCTCCACCTAACTTCCTGCCTGTGTCATGTAGTGTGATGGTTGCCAAGTGGTGATTTTCTATTTTTGTCATTCTTTCCTCATATATTAGTTCACATTCTATGTAAAGAAGTTTTTCATGAGTTTATGATAATATTTTCAATTCTAAACTAACACCTGAGTTTGTTTTTTTGTCCTCATTCTTCCCATGTTTGGAACTTTTCAGACAGTGAGAAACCTGGCTCCCATTATCTCAGTATATCTATTTACTTGTGCAGCCAGTTCACTTAATTGTTCAGTGTTACCAATCACTCTGGCCATTTCCTGTGCTCACCATCCCCCAGAACCTTCCCTCTCCCAGGCCTCATTTTTAAAAAGACGCCTGACTCACCACCTTTGTATGGCATTCCCTTCCCTATTCTTACCTTCCTTCCTCTGATGCCCATGTTCCTGTAAGCAAGTCTCTATGTGAGGATGAGAAGAAACATGAAGATGGGAAGATGTCTGAGATTTTAGACATCCTGAGTTTCAAATGTCAATTGCACATGTAAGTGAAGATGCCAAGTAATGGGTCTGGGGTTCAAGCTTAGCTAGAGAATATACCCATGGTATTTTTTATCATCTGTAACTATGTTCACAATGTTTATTAGAGGGATGATGAATCGACAAAGACTACTGTAAATATCTTTACTATGTTTTGGACTAGTGAGCACACAAGCATCTTTCCTCATGCTGGAGCTCTAACCCAGTCTTCTCAAGCTCCACTGTGCACACTGATCACCTGGGGTCTTGTTAAAATGCAGATTCTTAGTCTGCAGCTCTGACGTGGAGCCCAAGATTCTCCACTTCTAATGGGAGGCACTGATCCTGATGCCATCGGTGCTCAGACCACACTTAGAGCAGCAAGACCCTCACAACAGCCCACTTCCCATCTTCCAGTCCTTTACTGGCTCCTTATTGCCTACTGACTAAAGTTCCAACTTCTGAATATAGGGATTCATCATGGGCTTATATTTTGACAGTCTCTTTTGTTAGCTTCCCATCTCTTCACCTCTCAACTCAGCTCTGCAGTGACACTGAACTACTTGCAGTTTCCTGAACAGACCTTGTAATCAGAAACTTTGTTCTCCATGTTTCCTTCACCTTGATGACGCTTTTTCTTTGTGGCTTATTCCTGTTGGCCCCCTTGACACGATCTTATATCATCATCAGACTGGCTTCTAGCCTCCTATTTTGCTTACAAGGAACTCTCAGCTCTTTTTATTCCACATTGTATTGAAATGATTGATTTACTGGCCTGATCCTCCTTGAGTCAAACAAACCTGTACACTCAGCTAGCAAATAGTAGGTGCTTAGGAAATGCTTCAGTTAAAGTGATTCTTCTCATAAAATATATTTAATAACAGTTTCGGAACAGTGATTTTAGCCTTGTTTCTTTGACCCATAAGTGTAGTAAATTCTGTGTAAATATAGTTTAGCAATGTTTTGGCCATGGGCCAACAAATCCCAGCCCTGCCCCTTCCTAACTGTGACATCATGGGCCAGTTGCTTAACCCTCTAGACTTTATGTATAAAATGAAGGTTATAATACTGTTGGTACTGTCAGTATTGCCTTATGACTGCCTTGTAACAATATTGTGAAAATTCAGATATTGGTATTTATACAGTATTTAACAAAGATATGGTAAGTATTCAGTAATGTTAATAGTATTATAGGACAGAAGAATGAATACCAATTCTTAAAGACTTGATGGCTTCAGTGGTCAATGAGAATGAGAATACAACCATTATTTTAATATTTAGTCCATAATTAGTTCTTAAACTTGAGTGTACTTACAAGTTACCTGGGTCCTTGCTAAAAATATGGATTCCTTAGATCCTATAGGTCTGAGAAGGCTGTCCAGGATTCTGAGTTTTTAATTAATGTTGTAGTTGATTCTGGACCACTCACTCTTTAAAAAACTTTATTCATAAGAGCATTGAATCTAGGTCCCCTAACTCTCTGAGAGATAGTATGGCATGAAAAGTTAGTAAGAGAAAATCAAGGTGAACTAGGAATGTGCTAAAGTCAGGAATAAAGTTTTTTGCGAAGAAGTACAAAATTCAGATGTTTAATGACTCATTGTTTTCTCACTTTTATCTTAGTATGTCTAAACAGGGACGAACCATCATCTTCTCCATTCATCAACCTCGTTTTTCCATCTTCAAGTTGTTTGATAGCCTCACCTTATTGGCCTCAGGAAGACTAATGTTCCATGGTCCTGCTCAGGAGGCCTTGGGGTACTTTGCATCAGCTGGTATGGTTGCCTTTTCATGCAGTGAGATCCTTCATTCATAGAATCCTGGAAGAGGGCAGACGGGATACTGCTTGATCTTCGAGTAGAGATAACATGGGTTCCACCACTCCAGTTTGGTGCTAGAATTTGTCCTCATTTTGCAGCACTGGCTTGTTGTTTAGATCACTTTCTTGCCCTGTTTGAGCGTGCATGCATACTCTGTATGGGTTGGACTGTTTCTACTGGGCCTCTACTGTTCTGCTCCCAACTCTAGTGCCCTTTTCCTAATAGTTCAATAAATATATTGGCCTTATAATCAGTTATTAGTCTAACTGAACATTTTTTGAAAGGCCTAATACTGCCCTTCACCTCCCCACCTCCTCATTCCCCCAAATAGTTTGTCTTCTTTTTTTTAACTGAATTTTTTGTTTGTTTTTTATTTTTATTTCTTTAATTTTATATTTATCTTTATTTTTGAGATCATTTGTCTTCTTGACCATATAACAGATCAGGCTATGTCATTTTTCCATTGCATGGGTTTGCCTTGATGAGGTTTCATGGAGATGCTGATTCATTTTGTAGTAGCATTTGATTGAAGATTTCATCCTTGTGTGGATATGAGTGACTTACCAGTCAATAGAATGGCTACTCCTGAGTCTGACTTCAATGGGCTAACTTTTCTGACAGCTCTGGGCTGCCTGGTTGTATTTCAGATGAAAAGTCCTAATTTTTGAATGGCTCATGCAGTCTTCTTTATTTTAGAGATATATACATATTATTATAGATGGTGCTCCATGACCCCAAATATAGTTTTAAATATTTTCTAGCTATCTTTGAAAATTTGTTTCTGTTCAGACTCTATCATTTAACATACATGTGTCTGAGGAGTCTAGAGGAGATGAATCTAAGAGAAGACTACAGGCCAAATTGAGTTTAGATAATCAGGCACAAGAAGTGAGGGAAGGTAAAGCATTCAGGTGTGTTATGTTGGTCACCTTTTCTTGAGAAAGCTGCTCTGGTGATTTGTTCTCTATGCTGGGATTATAGCAGCATAAGAGATGATAATCCGGACCTGAATTTACTAGGTGGAGAAGCAACCTGTTGCTAAAGTGGGTGCTGGCATTCTGGCAGTCCGTAGGTGAACCCAGAGAATAGGACACACCCCGGGCTGGCTTTGCTGGTTACCTTGCTTTGAGGAGCATTAGTTCTACCTAGAGCTTTTTTCTTTTTTTTCTTTTCCAACTTCTGATTTTCTTGTACCGATATCTATGTTTTTTATTACATACTGGTAAGCACAGAACATACTGGTATTTGTTTCAGGTCTCATGAATTATGTTGGGCAAGGCTTTCTGAGAGTTCAAGGTTGGTTTGGAGTATGATTTTTGCCAGGAGATAGAATTGTTGGCTTATTGTATGACTAAATACATAAAAAGAAAGAGAAAACTAATGAGGAGAGAAGAGAGAAAGGAGAGAGGGGGAAGCCATTAGATTCTGTCTCTCCCAGCTTCACCTCCCGCATCCCCCGAAAGTGAGTCTTTATTTCCTAAGACCATCGTGTTTGTGTACCTGTGTTGTCTTCTGTAGGTCACCACTGTGAGCCCTATAACAACCCCGCAGACTTCTTCCTGGATGTCATTAATGGAGACTCCTCTGCTGTGGTATTAAACAGAGAGGAGGAAGGTGATGAAGGTATGTGCATCTGTCCAGAGTCACAGATTATCCCCTAATTGAATTGCCTGAAGTTCAGCAGTGTGGCAGCTGATTAAAATGTAGCTTTGTGAATTTATATAACTAATACCAGTTGTATCTGTTGAGGCCCCGCTTCCTGGTAGACCACCATCTCCTTGTTGGTCCCACACATGGTGGAAGTGGGGAGGGGGCTCCTGGGGCCTCTTTTATAAGGGCA